CCAGTTATGCTGTCTTGACATGGTCTCACTGTCTGTAAGCTCCAACTTAGAGAGTGCCACAGCGGTAATAGCCCGCGATGTGCAGAGTACGCTCGCACTGCGTTCAATTGCAAAAAATTGTTGTTTTTGTTGTTGTTGTTGTTCTTCTTCTTCTTGTTCTTCTGATCTGTAGATCTCTACACGTGCGCTTATTGGCATGCTCACTGATACGCTCATCGGTTGTCGAATTCAAAACCGAGAGCATATGAGCCAAGCAGTACTGTCCACATTTGTCAGCAGCCGAGATCATAACAGAATAAGGCATGGTATAGACCCTGTTGTTGTCGTGTTGTGCAGTCACGCAGAGTAGCAGCTTTCTCAAGCCGAAGCATTCCTTCATGTGTATATCAGTCGCTTATGTTTGTGGTTTGTGGATGCACCATCCGCCCCTTTCCTGTGATCCGTGTTGTTTGCAAAACCTGCGGCGAGGCCTTGGAGGAGTTCTCTGAGCTGTGGTTCGATCAGTTTGACCAATTGGTCATGCCCGTGGATTCCACGCGACTGCTTGTTGCCCTTACCAGCACTTTGAGGAACCTCCCCAAAAAGACGCCGAAACGGCAGATCGCATCTAAGTGGAAGGAGGAAGTTGACAAATTGTTCATGCCCCGAGCCGATGGCCAGCAGGGGCTACATGGAACCGATAATAAATGGCATGTGACCCCCGATGAGATTCTCGTCATGACGCAGCGCTTGGCCTCGGTTGGTGCGAAGGACGCTGTGATCCTGGCCCCTCGGTTGGCCAGTCATGTCGGAACGTTTCTTGCCATGTTTGTATGCGTTTTGAACAAGACAACCGGTCGCGTTGTCGAGGTGGAAAGCGTGCTGAGTGCCTTGCATCGTCGTCAGAAGGAGTATGCTGTCTACATGAGGGAATTGGAGGCCGTGTGTCGTGGCGCATGTACCGGATGCATGCGCTTCGGGTTGCACGGCACACTGGCAGACAGAACGAGCATGCAAGGTCACACATCCAAGACAGTTACTCATGAGGAAACTAGTTTTTCGAGTTCGTTGGTGTTTGGGCAGATCGAAGACGAAGACGAAAGTGACCAGGAAGGAGCTTGCCTCAGTTGCACGCAGAAGGCGATCCGAGCATGTGTGGTCCCCAAGCTGAGGCTTCGGCCCTCCTTTCGCTCTCGAAGAGGCCTTGGTTGGAATAGAAAGGCTCACACGCCGACTTGTCCGGAGTTGGCTAGTCGCCAGGACAGCAACCAGGCGAATGAGTACCCGGACGGGGCTCCTTGTCGGAGTGTCTCAAGGCTATGTGTCTTGAGGACTCGAGAGCTGGTGTCGGTCCGACTTTGCCCATGACAGTGAGAGGTCGGGAGAGAGAGGGAGTGTGTGTGTGTGTGTGCACGCATGCGTGCAGCGTGTGGCAGCTGAGGTTCAGTTGGTTCCACGCCGAAACGTGCCAATGGCAGAAAGAGCTCTTTTGCTGCAAAATGCGTCAGCGATTATTTCAGGCTTCTGACGTGGCCTTAATGACAGGCTGCACAGACCAAGATGAGCGGAATGAAGCGTTCACAAGATGCCAGAGACGTTCTTGAAATAGCTCGGGTACAAGAGCTGGCGCCAGCAGCAGAAGCAGGCCGGTGCAGTCTTCGAGTGGTGGTTGAAATGGTGACCTTGAGCAGGATCCACGCTCCTGGATGCAAAGGCCTTCCGCATTTATCTATGCTGCCATAAGTGCACCAACATGTAGGATTTTATTATGCCACTAGGACCGCAGGGCTTGACCTGCCAGCAGCACAACAAGTCTGACATCCTCTGTAGGGAGTCTCGCAAATTCGGTTGACTTACAATCCTGGGTTCTTGGCTCAAAAGGGGTTCAAGTCGTTTATTGAATCCAGCGAGCTGACTGTAGACAGAAGTTGATGCTTAGCAGGTGGAGAAATCTTCCGCACTTGTGTCCTCTGGCCGGAGCCGATCCCCCTCCCCTGTGGAGGCCGAAAATGAAAGTCTTGGGGCTTCTGTACTCGTACGGACTTGTGAAAGTTGTTCTGGGTTGAACTCGTAAAGCGCATGCATGAACTGGCCATGCATGGTCAGCGATCTGCATCGGACTGTATTTCCTTGTTTATTCTCATGGTAATTGCGGTGATGGGAGGAGCGCCAGAGTTCGGCATCGCCTTTTCCGGACACAGAAGTGAAATCAGTGGCCCCCTGATAGCACTTGTGCTGGTTGGGACTGGGCTCAACCCTCTCAGTTCGGTCCGTGCCGCAAGATTGCAGGACGTCGGAAGGCTTTCTGGCACATGCACCAAATCCCGGAACTGCTCAGGTTCCTATGACGATTGACGCGCCCAATCAGACAGCATTGTAGAGTGTGGACGGGATTTTTGACGGTCATTTCCCCAGCTCCCAAGATTCATGAGAAGAGCGATGTCGCGCCTGTATGAGGATACGCCCACACATAGGCCTGCTCTGTGCTGGCATTGTTCATAGTTGTGAAGTTATGTAGTCGGAGAGAGCACCCCCGGCGCAGCGCTCTCAGCTGCTGGCGTGCCTTTCCAAGTTTGACAGCCGCAACAGACGGCCCACCTAATGTCGATAATGTTCCGGTGCTGCCGCAGCGCAGAAGCCGCCCCGCTTTCCGAGCTTGCTTTTTTGGGATGTTGCTGTCGTGCTAATGCACAGCAACGATTGCCGTATTCCGAGCTCGAGGCCACACGCTCAGGAAGAAAAAACAAGCAAGTTTTGCAGAAGAGGTTCTGCCGGGCACATGAAACAACCGAGGGGTGGAGGCTTGGCTATCTCCGCTGACAGCGGTCGTAAGAACATGAGGCTGCCTGCTCGAAGGGGTCGTTATCATGCTTGTGTCTTTTTGATCAAGGCTGTGTGGCTCAAGCCGAACAGCCCATCCTGGGTGATGTGAGAAAGATGTGGACTCTTATCGGTCCACGTCCAATGTGAATACCAATGTTACTTACGCTGGTGCTTGTCTTCGGACAGCTCTGGTCCGTGTCATGCCTGACATGCACGACGTCACGCCCTGAGAAAGCCAAATCTTGCGCTCTCAACTGGGGTCACGAGACATCGGCCCAACAAGGCCTTGACTCCATGGTTGCAACTCTGACACGACGAGTTCTAAGGCCTGGATATGGGCTGGACGCCAGCGCCGTCCCTCCGGCGTGCTCTTGACTGCATTGAGCCGATTTGCTTCGATATGTTTGTTTACCACAGGGCCGCCAAGCAACCGCATGCTGGTCGGAAGGCTTAGCGAAGCACTAAACGTGCAGTGGCCGAATCTTGGACGAGGAGCTCTCAAGCTCTGCACGTTCGCCAGCAGCACTGCAGACTAGTAGCCGCGTTCGAAGAACAAGAAGACACAAGAACCGAAAACTTGATAGTATTGCAACTCGGCTTGCCCGCCTCCAATTGGGAGGCTGCCATTTTCGGTTCCCAGCATTTCCCACCCACCAGGAGAACCGCCGACCTGAATCAGCAAAGCATTGGTTCCCGTCCGAAGCAAAAACCCCCAGAATCCAATCTGCACAGCCAAACAGCAAGCCCTAGAATGGAATCCGTGTAGACAGCAGAACCCCATCCGCGTAAACAAGCAGCAATAAGCAAACAGAAAGTTAAAACAAAGGCCGGAGCAGTCGGCCCAAGCCCTTCCGGGATCCTGGGGTCAAAAGCCTGCGAAATCTTCGCGGGAAGGTGGTCAGGCCGTACCAGTCCAGACCAGATGGCGAGGGATTGCATACAGCAGATGCGCCGCCACTGACAGTCAGTGGGGAACCAATCACGGAGAATTGGCGAGCACCCGCGCAGAGTTCGGCAATACAGTGAATCGGGGTGAAAGCAGCTCGGGCTGATGAGGCAGCATACCACATCAACACCAAACTGGTGAACAGTCAGAGCGAGTCGTCGAGGACAGGAGACCGTGGCTTTGGCAGAAGATTTTTGTGCCACGCAAGGTTGAATGGGTGAGGGGATTCCGGCTGTCACCGGAATCGGCTGCAGGGAAGGGGACGGGCCCAGTAAACTTCCGAGAGGTGGCATTCTCGAGATGCAAGTGCAAATCCGCCACGTCACCATGTGGAAAATACACTTGACTGCATGTTCTGTGTTCGCGAGTTTTGCCATCAATGCATCCCTTCTTCGATGCTGCGAGTGCTGTTTTCGGGACGTCGTTCTTGGGGAGCTCGTGCCATCATCCCTGTGCAGTGATTGATAATGTAAGCTGCGACAGGTGCGTCATTTGCCGGGAGCTCAATATCGTGCGGCGAGTTTGTGCAGGAAGGCTGTAGCTGTTGTAGGTTCCTTTATGCCAGTTTAGCCAGGGACCCTGTAGCCGGCCAAGGTGATTATGGCACCTTCTGGGACAATGGAGTTTGCAACGTTTGTCCGGCGGGAAGGTATGCTGACACTCAAGGTCAAGTGGATTGCCACGACTGTCCGGAGGGGACTTTCTTGGCTGATGATGGCCAGCTGTGGCAGCTCCATGCACACAGTCACTTCTGCACTCCCTGTCCTCCTGGCCGAGCCTCTAGCCAAACTGCAGCAGCGAGTTGCACAGCATGCCCCCCAGGAGAACATACTTCCTCGCCGGGAAGTCTGTTCTGCGACCCTTGTTATTCTGGTGTGGCAACACACCCAGGAACAATCGTATGTGGCGCGTGCAATCCCGGGTTTCAGCCGTCAAGTGACAGGACGCTGTGTGAGAAGTGCCAAGCTGGATACTACAGCGACGAGGGTTTCTTCTGCTACCAGTGCTGGACGGGAACAGCGGCTGCTGAAGGGTCCTCCGAGTGCACGCAGTGTGCAAACGGCCGATACGAATCGAATCTTACGGAATGTATCGATTGCCCAGCTGGAAGAGCCAGTTACGGCGGATATCCTTGCTATGACTGTTGGTATGGGGAGCATTCTAAAGGCGGAGAACTGTGCCAAGCCTGCCCTGCGGGCAGATTTTCTTCAACGCAGGCCAGCAGCAAGTGCGAGAAATGCCCGGCAGGAACATATTCGAGTGAATATAGTGAAAGTTGCAGTCAGTGCTGGTACGATCAGGTGTCTTCTGAAGGCAGCCCGAGCTGTGAGTATTGCCCTGGAGGCTATGTGCCAAAGTCGGATCGTACAGCCTGCCAACCCTGTCCTGCAGGGAAGTTTGCCCAGGCAGGCCAGATGTCTTGTTACGACTGCTATTGGGGATTGTATGCCCCAGCTGCTAGCACATCATGCATCGAATGTACTGGCGGATCGAAGCCGAACTCGAATCGCACAGCTTGCGAACCGTGCGAGGGTGGAACCTTTGCTCAGCCAGGCCAAGATTATTGCAATCCCTGTGGGCGAGGCCAAAGCCGTACAGAAAGTCAGGAGAAGTGTGAACCATGCGAGCCAGGCAAGTACAACCCCAACAGTACTGCTGACACTTGCACGGAGTGCCCGCCTGGCCGATACACGGCCAATGCAGGCCGCGGGTCCTGCCAAGCCTGTCCGGCTGGGCGGTACTTCAGTGGTACTGGTGCAAATGAATCGTCAGCATGTACCGCGTGCCCAGGCGGACAAACTCAATCCACGGGCGCTGTCTCGGCTGATTCCTGTATTCAGCCTGGCACGAATCAATCGGTGGAATGCATAGCTGGTAAGACATGCTCTTTTGTATTCGCTGAGGGGCCCGGGCTGCTGGACACCAGTGTGCACGCGGTCAATGTTAAAGTAGATTCATGCGAGCCAGATCCGACCGATCTTGAGAGTCTTCTTGCTGACCTCAGCCAGTTTTTTGATCAGCTGGGAGGAGGATACAGTTATGGTTATGGGACGACAGGCGGCTATGGTGGGTTTGGGGGTTATGGCGGTGCACCTGGTGGATTTGGTGGCTATGGGAGTGGCGGGTTTGGAGGTGGGTTCCCCGGTGGAAGCCCAGGTGGGTTTTATGGCGGCTACGGGCCGGGCTTTCGGAGGCTGGAGTCAGGAAACGTCGTGGATGGCTTCGGGTCTTCAAGGGTTTGGATCGCCTCCAACTTTTCGGTTGCTTGGCCCGACAAGATCACAGCAGAGCCTGGTAATTACAAGCTGTGCTGGTGTGGTGGTGTTGGTTATCAGGGATACAACATGCCTACGTATCTCCGATGCATCCGAGACGTGATGTACGACTTTGAGGTGGGGTCCATGGCTGTGGCTGGGCCTTTCCAAGGTCAGTCTTTCTCCTGTGTTCGAGGCAGAGTCTGCAACGCGGGCCGATTGCGAGGTGTGGGTTTGACGCAAGAGGACACACTAAACCTTCGAGCTGGCTGCACTGTGGATGGGGCCCGGAGATTCACAGGGGTGCCATTCCAAATCTCCGCCGTGCCGTCTGATGTCCCCGGTGAAGTAGACCTAGATTTCGGACTAAATTACACCGTCTACGATGCACCGGGCGCATACACGCTGTGTTGGTGTTCTTCCAAAGGCACGCCTTGCAGCACTATGGACCTGCGAGTGGACAGCGACAGCGATGTCTACTTGGAAACGCAGGCTGCGACCTTGAGCCTGGACGGCCCGAATCCTGGGGCAGAGGTGGAATGCTTTCTGGGACAGACTTGCTGGCTCCACCTGGATCTTCAAGGCCAAAACCTCCAAGATGGCGACCGCCTCACAGCTCTGCCGAAATGTGGCGATGATGACAGCTTCATTACAGGCTTTCCTTCTCCGGGCTATGCAGATGCATCTGAAGGTGGTTTGGTGTTTATCTTCACCGGAGGTTCCTTAAGCACCGAGCCGGGGATTTACCAAATGTGCTGGTGTCGTCCGGAAGCAGCATCCGGCTTAGCTTGTAATAAGGCAAGTGACTTCACTACAACCATAGGGCTGTTTCTCGCCACCGGACCTTACTCTGGTCAGACAGCCGAGTGCGAGCTCGGCTCCGAATGCATCGTTCCCGCCTTTCGGGGAGTCAGCTTGTCGACGAAGGATCCGGTCGTGCCAATGACCGCTTGTGAGAAGCTGACCCCCGCGGCCAACTTTCCCCCTCCGCTCAGCCCCATCTATGCCTCACAACAAGGCGGGGCCTTTGTTATCAATCTCGGAGAGCTGCACATAGGGAACGACGCGGTGCCAGAGATCGTGGAGCTTTGTTGGTGCTCCATGAGACTTCAGACTGGTGACGATTCCGTAGAGCCTTGCACCCAGAATTGGCATTTTGGGACCGCTGGAATCACACTCTACTTGGTTTGCCCACCGGGCTATTACGAACTGGTGGGTGCTTCCAAGACCTGCCAGCTGTGCCCTCCAGGGTACTACTGCCCAGGCGGCTGGGGCAAGTCGAAGATTTCTTGCCCTGCAGGAAGCACTTCTGCTGCCAAAGCAGAATCGGTGGACGACTGCCAGTGCAGGCGGGGCTATTTCTTGGCTGAGGCAGTTGGTGCTTGCATGGCCTGCTTTGCCGGGACATTCAAGAATTCCGTCGACAGGCTCCGTGAGTGCACAGGTTCATGCCCACCTCAAACGACATCCGCAACGGGTGCAATAAGTATGCTGGAGTGCTTCTGCGAGCATCAGGCTGTTGACATTGACAGCCGTCAGGGAGTCTTTCAGTGCACAAGCCTAGACTCTCTATCAGACGTCTCCAGCAACGGATCAGCTCTCTTCGCATCGAGTCAGGTGCCCGTATATTCATTCAGTGGCTCCCTGGCTGTAGTGGATGCTTCAACCCAGGCTTTGTTGGATGAGATCAGTGAAAAGATCACCGAGCGCCTGGAGACCGGCTCTCGTGCTTCATTTACTCTGGAAGTGGGCAGTGTGCTGGACTGGCGTCTGGACTTCGAGATTTTGAGCTCTGATGCGGAGCTTGCAGCAGAACTGCAAGCGAAGCTTGATCCTTCACCCTTCGCGGCCTGGGTTTACACAGACATGAGCACGACAGCACTTGCGTCGGCCAACATTACACAGCTTACAGACATCTCGCAATCAGTCTTGCAGTGCCCAGATGGTTTAGGCTTTGAGCCTGGGACGCATGCTACCAGCCTAGATGATTGCAAGTGCCCGCATGGAATGCAGCCATCTGATGGGAGCACTGGGATCCTCGCAGGTTGCACCAGCTGCCCGCAGGGTTACTTCAAAACCTCAGTGGGTGACACGATCTGCGAGGCTTGTCCGGCTGGCGATGTCCCGCTCACCACGCTGCAGCAAGGTGCGGTCTCGCCAACTGCTTGCACGTGCTCAGCCGGTTATCATGTCGACCCTAAGCCTCCCGGCAGATGCATCCCTTGTGGGGATGGCCATTTTTGTTTCGGGGGAAGCCATCGGCAGGCTTGTAGCGAGTCGCGGACAACAGATAGCAGCACGGCAGGTGCTGAGGATGAGTGCCTATGTTCAGATGGCACGTACCTCAATGAAACAACAGAGCAGTGTGACCCGTGCGTGGCGGGCCGATTCAAAGGAGATATTGGCAATGCGCCTTGTGCGGACTGTGATGCTGGCAAGTATTCGGAACAAGGCAGCAGCGAGTGTGACGATTGCAGTCCTGGGCGATTTTCATCGCAAGGTGATGCAACGTGCGAGGCCTGCCCAGCTGGTCGTTATTCTCAGACTGATGCTGCAACTTCTCTCGATTCCTGTCTGTTCTGTAGTATTGGCACCTGGAGCAACGACACCGGTGCTGATGCTGATGCCACCTGCCGCAAATGTCCGGATGGAACAACCACGGAGCAGAGTGGATCAACGAATCTCACGGCATGTGTGCGCCCCTATCGGGGACAAGATCGCGACTGCGTCTCAGGCCGAGTATGTTCTGTGGATGATCTCGAGGGCTATGGCATCAGGGCGGGTCATCGCATGGGTATTGCGTCTACAGATTGCAAAGCCGCGAAGGTGTCAGTAGAAGGTATAGAGAGCGATGGGATTTCCAAGGTCTCGGACACAGGTAGAGGCTACGGGTGGGGTGACGAGCCGTTGGATTTCACACCAGCAGGTGGCTTCTACAACATGTGCTGGTGTGCCAACATGCAAGGCTTGGTGTGCACGGATTTGAATGCCAACTATCTCACACAGGCCGGGCGACTTCTCGTTGCTGGCCCATCAGAAAATTTGTTTCGGTGTGTGCGAGGTCGTGACTGCGTTGGCTTGTCCCCCTTTTCCGGCTTTGAGCTTGCTTTGACAGACCTCGTGTCCGTAAGGCGAGATTCATGTGGCACCACTGCAGTTACAGAAATCTCGAACTCCAACTCTGAAGGGCTCGGCAGTCTGAGCAATCTGCAGCGCGCCGGTGCGGTCACCACATTGACCTTGGGTTTTGGGACCTCTGATAGCCAAAGCAGCTACTATCTCTCGATTGATGCAAGCCTGGCTGGTTATTTGCTGTGCTGGTGTGCGAGTGAACGCGGGGCAACGGATGCGTGCACTTCTCCGGAAGATTTCAATGTGTATGCTGGACGTTTGAGTGTGGTCGGCCCGAGGACCAATCAGGAGAGCGGCTGCTCCGTCGGGCAGCCATGCTCTGTGTCTGGGATTGAGGGTGCCTTTCTAGAAGCCGGTGATCGTCTGATGGTTCTCTCAGATTGCGGCCGAGGCATTTCGCTGCCTGGATTTCCTGGCGGCGGCATCATGGAGACGAGCAACTCGCGGGATTTTGCCTTCATTGGAAACGGCAGTGATGTTCTCCTCTCGACGCCTGGAATTTTCCGGCTTTGCTTTTGCAGGCCAGATGTGCTTGGTGGTCAGGCTTGTGAAACACCAAGCAGCTTCCAGGCGAAAGTTGGCCTCATGACAGCAAGCGGGCCTTTCGAGCAGGTCGCCACTTGCTACACTGGCAGCAACTGCACGCTGCTGCTCTCCGGGATTGGCTTGCTTGCTGGGGACCAGGTCTTGATCGCTTATGGCGATTGCGGGCAGACTCCTGGGATGGGTGTGCGAGGTTTCCCAAAGCTGGAGAGCTCGGTTGTGGTCATCGATGGAAGCTCTGGGCTGGAAGCCGGCCTCGGTGAGCTGCCCCAAGGGGCCATGGCGGGGACCTACAGCATCTGTTGGTGTCCTGCAACGGGTGAATGTGGAGACTCTTCGGTATTCCGAGCTGAGGGTGGCATTCTACGAGTTGACTGTCCGCCAGGCAGTTATGCCATCGGACCAGTTGGAGGCTGGCCGTCGGTCTAAAACGTGCATTCGACGTCCTGCAACCACTCGTTTTCGTAGTCCGTGCTACTCGTAGGGTACAGAATGAAAGCGTGGCCAGGTCGAGTTTGTGAGCGCTGCACGCGGGGCTACTACTGCGGCGGAGGGCGGCCAGAACTGGCGACAAGGGTGCCTTGTGCCTCCGGAGAAACGACACTTGACTTGGGATCCGCTGCTTGGATACAGCAGGTGCTGAAATGTAAGATCTCGATTTGCTTGGGCTGGAGTTTCACACAGCCTATGCCTTGCACCCAGGTTTCCATTGCAGCTTGTGTCTGTGATCGGGGATATGGACTCGAGCCAGCTGGCTGTGCTGCTTGCAGCGAGGGCTCGTACAAGAGTGTGGCCGGAAATGAGGAGCCTTGCCTTCCGTGCCCTGCGGGTTTTACAACCTTTGGTACCGGCTCCAGGTCCGAATCCTTCTGTGCCATCCCCACGACGGACCCGGCTACGGACCCGGCCGACCCGAACCCGGGGGATTCGTCACCCAACCAGAGCAACGAGAGCAACGCGAGCAACGCGAGCAACGCCTCGGAATCTCCCAATAGGACAGTAACACCAGGCCCGTCACCACCGGAAATGGTCTTCAAAAACGAATCAGCTGTGCCTGCGGTCTCGTTCACAATGACCATGTCACGACAAGCATCCGACGGAGACGACGAGACGTTGAAGAATCAGCTAAAAGCAGCTTGGCATTCATGAGAAGAAATGAGAGAAACTGCTTCATGCTGTTGTTCATGTTACTAGGGTCGTATGGGCCAGGCAACGTTCATTTCAACCTTGTCAGCTTCAACCCGGGTCGACCCTACTGCAATCGTGATTGTGCCTTGACTGGACATCACGGAACATCGATGATTTGCCTGCAAATGTCGCGAGATGCCAGTGCAAAAGCTGTTGTCCCAAAGGAGATCGTAGACGAAATATCATCGAGCAACTCGAGCAACTCAACCGCTCGCCGGCTTCAAGCAACTTCTACGGTGAAAATCACCATCAAGCAGCGCACAGCAGAAGAAGCCAGCTTGACTCTCCAAGACATGGATGCCCCCTGGCAGTAATGCTTCGGTTTCGTTGGCCGACTGCGCTTGCATTCAATGTGCGAGAGGTCGACTTGATCTCCAAAGAGCTGGAGGATGCAGTGGACCAGCATCCGAAGTTCGGCTCTCCCGGTAACTGTTTTATTTTGTTTGGTTGCTTCTTGAGCTAGCAGCTAGCATGCTTCGACGACGTTGTGTCGCCACTCTCTTCGTCCACCCTCGTCGTTACTCCACTCTTTGCTCCTGTCTGCTAGTTTTAAGTGGCCGGGCGCTCTGGATTAACTCTTGGTGCACTTCTCGATTCGTGGGGGCATTGCTTGTTTCGGACTTGCGATGGGGGAGTCAATGTTCCCACGCAGTCGAAGGTGCTTAGAGCTCCCGTGTGGTTCTTGAGATGCCTCTTCTGCTCCTTAAACGCAAGCTATGAGGGGGCAAGTTCCGACAGAAAATCGACATCTGGGTTTGTTGACCTTCGGTCTCGGAGCGTGGAAAAAATTGGGAAATGTCGGGGAAAGAGCGAGAAGCGGGACAAGTGCGTCCTGTTGGCGAATGCTCGGTCGCCAGCCCATTTTTCCGAGAAAACCTGGAAACGATATTCCCGATCGTCATGGCACAACAAATGACCAATGATGAAGCATGTAGTTGACAGTAGGTGTTGCAAGGTTGTTTTGGTGGTTTCGTGTGGGCTGGCATGGTTTGCTGTGGGTGGCCTGTGGGTATTGTGAGCTTATTTGTGGGACAGATAGTCAGTCATCCATCTCCTGTGGACGTCTCGCAGCATCTACACCGCCTTTGCTCCACCCTGCCCTCCTACCTCGTCGTCTCTTCTGTTCTTACGCCAAGCAATTTTATGAAGGACGCTCGGTGCAGCTGGTATTGGTCTGGCGATCGAAAGCGTCCCCGAGATCACTGAAACTTCAGTTAAGTGCCCGGCACGGAGATCTGTACCACCAGGACTCGCCGTCACGAGCCTTCAGCATTGCCATGCATGGCTATGGTTAACGAGCAACTGAGCTCGGCTTGCATGTGTGCGCCTTGCATTATCCCTTACAGGAGTACCTGTGCTGAGCGAAGACGATTGTGAATGCAGCCCTGGCTACGGCTACAGTGCTGCCACGATGACTTGCGCATTGTGTGAACAAGGCGGATACAAGGCAGGTCGCATCCACGTGCACCCCGTTCTGTTCGTCTAGAGCATGAATTGAGCCCTGACTCTGAAGTGCATGCCAAGTGTCTGCCAACCAGAAAAGGCGCTGTTGTAGATTCCGAATTCGAGTCTGGGCCGGGGCTCTGCAGTAGTCTCCTGCCTGAGGCAGCTGTGGGGGATGTGTCATGCACACGGTGTCCGGAGCTGATGTCTACCTTGACTACGGGGGCAACATCTCCGGACGACTGCCAGTGCCAGGCGGCCGTTTCCAAAATGCACCGGGTCGGTTGAGGGATCGTGACCTGCCAGGTGGGCCTCTATGCAGATGAGACCGGAGCATGTGTCGACTGCTTCTTGGGGTCCTATTGCCCTGGCACCGGGGAGGCCATTCCATGCCCAAGGAATTCTACAACGACGTCGGTGGGCAGGTCCATCGCAGATTGTATTTGTATGGCTGGCTTCTATTCCGTTCAAGATGAATCATTATGCCAACCTTGTCAGCGTGGCAAATACAAGCCCAACATTGGCAATGGGGAGTGCCCTCTGACATGCCCCACCAGTGCAGATAGCGAGCCAGGCAGTTCAGGTCTGGGCGACTGCTTTTGCCAGCCCGGGTTCCATGCCAAGACCGATGCAACGACGGGCAATCTGGCCAGATGTGCAACTTGCGATTACGCGGGCCTGATCTGTCGCGGTGGCTTTGAGGGTGGCAACCTCACGAATTCAAGCAGCCAGTCATCGCGTCGTGTGCATGCGCAGCCAGTGGCAGAGCTGCCTGACAGGTTTCATGTATCTCGACATCTGCATACGAGTCCAGTTGATTGTGTTTTTTGAGTTTTTGCGGTCAAGGACCGGTTACTACCAAACTGGTGCAACGTCAGCAGTTGCTTGCGATGTCTTGGTGGTGGAGGAGGTCTCCGCATGCGGAGGCGGCGAGGCGTGTGCCGCGGAGCGGATCGGCCTTCCAGTTTCAGAAACCTGCTATGGGGCAGCGGGCACCTTCGACGCATCTGGTTCCACAAGCCACTCAAGTAGGATCTGGAGTATTAGAACAAAACTTGTATCATGCAGGTTGATTGCACATGCCCTGGTGTGTTTTCTGCGTTCGGTATTGTTTGGTTTAGCCGGTTTAGCCCAGCTTTTGCTTTATGGAGTGAGACCTCGTATCGTGAGTCAAGCGTGAGGGCGTGGCGGTTCATGCTTAGACCCGAAAACGAACGAATCACAGAGTGTTCTAGATCATGTCGAACATTTTCACGATCAACAAAGTGCGTCCTGGTGGGACAACATTCATTCAGGATTCTCCGGCCCGGCTGAATGGAGGGCTCATAGTCCAGTGACTTTTTGTTCGTCAAACTGTTGTTGGCATTGGGGGGATGAGTCCGGGTAGCATTGAGGGAGATATGCTATGATCTGGCAGCATTGGGGATGGCATAAGGCATGAGTCGCATTGTGAGCTGGCTCTGCTATGTCCTGATCCAATGCTATGGAAGAAGTAACATCGATGCAAGGCCATGCTTGCATGATGAACACGCGATGAGTGCTGAGTCTTTGCTGAGATGACAGATTCCGAATGCAGTCGATATCACAGACTTCGCCACCGTCTTGAAAGCAGTTAGAAAAAGGCTGCTGCGTTCAAGGATGTATAGCTTTCGCTCGAGCCATGTCTGTTGATATATATATATATATGTACATATCGTGTGCTGTCATATCTATATTTACACACGTACGTACACACACACACACACACACACACACGCAGACGGACAGACAGACAGACAGGCAGGCAGGCAGGCAGGCAGACGCACAGACAGCAGGCAGGCAGGCAGGCAGGCAGGCAGGCAGACGGACAGACAGACAGACAGACAGCAGGCAGGCAGGCAGACAGGCAGACAGACAGACAGACAGACAGCAGGTAGGCAGGCAGGCAGGCAGGCAGACAGACAGACAGACAGCAGGCAGGCAGGCAGGAGCCAGGCAGACAGACAGACAGACAGACAGACAGACAGCAGGCAGGCAGGCAGGCAGGCAGACAGAGCGACAGACAGACAGACA